CCAGTTACTGTAGCATTCGTCAACTTTGTATAATCAATGGGCCTATTATGCCTTTAAATAACGTTAAAGCGTTAGGAGTGACAATAGTCTACATTTCAATGAAATGAATACAGTAGAAATGTTAATTGTTATGTTTATTTTTGTATGAATCATAAACCAACATCGCTTTGACGGCGTATATGTATTTCTACGTGATTTGTAGGCAATATGCACGTAGAGAAATCAACAAATCATATTATTATGTAAGCGCGAACGAATTTGAATGACAACAGAGGGCGCGCAGAGCCACAAGCAAGCCGAGCCATACTAGATAGAGATCTGGAACTCTGTGGGCTCTTCAACGCTAATCTCTATATACTGTGTGTGTGTGTGTGTGAGAGAGAAAGAGAGAGAGAGAGAGAGAGAGAGAGAGAGAGAGAGAGAGAAAACGAGAAAGAGAGAAAGAGAGAGAGAGAGAGAAAAAAGAAAGAAAGAGAGAGAGAGATAAATAGAAAGAGAGATCAAATATATAGAGTAGTTACTAGTTAGTATATAGAGATCAGTGCTCTGCAAGCATGCCGAGCCACAGATAGAGATATCTGTGTACGGCTCTGCAGGCATGCAGAGGGCGAGTTGCTTATTTCTTCTGCAGATTATTTAATTTTTAATTCGCATGGTTTGTGTGGCGTGGATTCCGAAAGCGTATATATATATATATATATATATATATATTATGAGAGATATTATTCGGGAAGTTGTATTGTTATTAAACTAGCATTCCAACTCGGTTATATTGTGCTGAATGTGGACATAATTATAATTATAGATTAAAATCAGGGGCAGTTAATATATGGCAGTTGAAAAGAAAAAAGGGAAAAATAATTATTATATTTATGCATGTTATATCATAATATATGCTGTGGTTGGCATTTGTGCAAATGGTTTAGTCTCATTGTCTTATGGATAGCATAACCTTCCTATCTATTATTTTTCTTAATTTCCTGTTTCACACATTCAATAAGAATTGGCCTATTTAGGAACATTTTGCAAGATTTCTAAAATTTATTTGAATTATTAATATGGTATTATCAGGCATGAGTAAAAGTAATTTGGTTTTATGCCTTTCATGTATTGCCAGTAATATAGTGTCCAAGCTACAAATGCACAGCATTATTAATAATGTGCAGATAGTTACATTTTTTCTCTATTGATTATGAAAATGCAAATACTAAATACATGTATATTTATAATAGTTGACTTGAATTAGAATTAGGATACATGTTTAGCTGCTGTTATACACATGTAAGTCAAAACGTCAAAGATATCATGATATCATTCCAATGATTTTGAATAATTGATGCCAAAGATGCTGATTGGTCTTTGTATATACTTGAAAAATGAAAACGCAATTTTTACACATCGTCGTTATATACATGGGTAGTCTGTGATCACAAAACCCTACATCGATTTTTATTTGACATACATGCCTCTATTTATTATAATACTTCACATTTGGGGTAATTTTGTTGAGAACAAACAGTAAAGTAATTAATTTTGAGTGACATGTTAATGTGAACAATTAAAATTCAATATTTTAAGCATCCTAGTTTTGTATGCATGAATTCGAAATGGGTATTTGGGAATGGGAGCAATTAAAATTTTCTAATGTTAGAACATATCTATCTACAGCTATGCCAACGGAAGGGATGTTAAATTTGGCAGCTCAGTGCATGTAGTAACGTTCTAATTGTTTAGGAATATCAGGAAGACCTTATTTATTGTTGGTGTTTGTTGCAAAGTGTTGTATGCCATTGGCAATCATGTTGTAACCATAGTTTGGATTGTTGCTAATGTCATCTGAAAAATAAATGCTTTATAGCACAATTGCATTGTCTTGATCTAATATAATTTCCATTTTTATTATTTGCTCATTTTAATTATGAAGGAATGCGTAAGGTCTTGGTTTCTTGTTTTTTTTATAGAATTAAAATACATATATATATTGTATTAAAATATAAGTTTGAATTTTCATAAGAATTAAATTTTCTCAGTATGTTGACAAGTGAACATATTGTACATCTGCCAAAATTAGACTCCCCTGTTATATAAGGGAAGAAACTCGGAAAACTTTTTTGTAAAATCTCCCATGCACTTGACTTTTATTTCTTTTTGTAACATGAACGCAGTTTGTATTCATGCTCATGTAACTTCATAACCTCATAATGAGTAGGCTTCAAATTGCAAGGGTACCAGGGGCGGATTCAGACCGTATTTGCCGTATTGGGAAATACGGTCTAGATTTCAAAGTGCCCTTCGAAATTTTGCGCTAAAAAATACAGAAAACAATTTGATGGAATTTGGCTGTATTCTTTATTTGTTTTCTTTTTCTTCTGATTCATTGACAGGACTTGAACGAAATCAAAATTTTACATGGTAACAAAACTAGCTTTGATATCTGAAAAAGAAGGGAAGTGGTTGAATCATTCTGCATTAATTGCTGGTATGCAAAGCGCAGG